TAGTAGTAGTAGTAGTAGTAGTAGTAGTAGTAGTAGTAGTAGTAGTAAAAGAAATGGTTATAAGTGTAATAATAATAATAAAATGAATGTGATGATTATAAGAACTTATTTGCAAATAAGTTCTTCATTTGCAAAGCTTTACATATAGAATCTCATGATTATCCTCATTTTATAGATGAGGAAACTGAGATTGAGAAAGCTTAAGTAGTTTGCCCAGATTCATACAGCTAGTGAGGATCTAAGGCAAGATTTGAACTCAGGTATTCCTGATTCCAAGTCTGGCACTCTATTTACTATCTCACTAGATGTCTTAAAACTCTGTCACCTGCTCCAAAGACTATCTACAGAACAAAAAAGATACATTACATATTTTAACTGATTTCATGCTTCCAATTAATTCAAAGGTAAAAGAAACTGAAAATGGTACACAAATCCAAGTTTTGTATGAAGGAGGTAATGTTAGTACAACTTACTGCAAGATTTATAAATTCCGTGTTAACATTAAATCAGCACAGTCACTGTCTAAAATATGCATAAACATTCGTTACTCTTCAAAGTGTCTCCACAGGGAGGCCAAATAGGAATCTGAAAGGTAGCTGCAGTATACATACACTTGTTTCAGAACAAGCAAGGAGCACTGTTTGCTGTCTATGCTCTGCTTAGGCTGTATAAACAGGAAATTCTGAATTTTGGAGCCTAAAAAGTTGTGAATTTGGTTCCCAATATATCTCTTATGTGAATTTATAATCATCTCTTTCCGTAAAAGAAAGCCATAGTTTACATTATAGAAGATGGGGATTTCCATCCAGCCAGAGGCTCAACTGCTTTCCACTTCTTCTCTAAGATGTAATCCTGAAGGTCTTTGGAGATCCCTGGACCACGGTATCGGCGAAATATTCCATCCTTTGCACTACAAGTGTGAGAGAAAATAAACATCCATTAATAGTACAAGATATCATAAAACCAAATGAATTTTGCTTTCATTTCAATTCTATTAAATAAAATTTTACTTAGTCCTGACTATACATGAGACACTGAGATTACAGTTGGAGATTCAAAGATTTAAAACATATTTGTGTATCTATTCACACATACATTCTTAAGTATGTATATATGCATATTATATGTACATATACACACATACACAGTTCTGAACCTAAAGGAATTTATAATTTAGTAGATCTATCTGTGAACTATAGAATAATAAGAAAAAATATTCAAAGAGAAAATTATTATACTCAAAATTATAAACTTAAAAGTACCTATGATCTTGTTATCTAGTAAAAATGAAAGTTTCCAGATTTTTAAATAAAGAAAGCTTATGCTAGAATTTTTATTAATCATTATTTTATCTAATTAAATCTATTACCAATTATTTGAAATTATTTTAAAGTATATATGTGTATATATACACACATACATACAAACATATATATATACACAAACATATATATATGTACATACATATATACACACATACATATAGATACAAACATATTTTAATTGTTTTGATTGATGGTATTTATATCCTCAATTTTCACATTTCTAAAATTATATCTTTTGCCAACTAACTGGCCCAGATTTGAGAATTATAGCCAAAAGGAAGTATGTTCTCACCCAAATAATGTACCTGAAAATGAAAAACAAAAAGAAAACTTGTGAGCTACACTGACTTTAAGAGTTTTTAAAGTCCACATAACAAATCCTGCATCACTTGTCCTTATTAAATGGAGTGGTAAATTGCTGCTTCAGAATCTGCCCAGCAATGATCACTGGAATGAGCTAATACAGTCCCATTAATTCTTCTTTTCTTAAGGAGGAATAGGGAATAGGTAGAAATTAATATCTCTGGGCTTTTTAGTATATTTAATATGATGGCAGAGGAATAAATTAGAAGACCTTCTACAGCCTACAAGCCTATGACTTATTGCATGAAGCATAATGAATTCTCATCATTTTTCAGAAAGGTGTACTGGTCAAGGATATCATATCAAGTCCTAAGAAATTATATTAAAAGTCAAAGTTTGTGATCTAAAATGGGTGTTAGAAAGTTGTGAACTCTCAAATTGACCTTCACATGGAATACAACAATGAAGAAATTGTTAAATTGTACAAATCCAGAGCAGGACAGCACAAAGCTCAAAAAAAGGTGATTATAGGAGACATAGGATTTGTTGCTGACATTTTATTGAGTGATTTCTGCTTATACTGGGAAGTGAATAGTTTTGTTATTCATTTGATACATAAACTTACTGGAAAATAGTTGGAAGTGTAGTGACAAAGAATCGGCCACTCAAACCTAAGGAAAATAAAAGAAACCACATGAAAAGTCATACTTAGTAGGACAGTATCTGAATCATTTAGTTTTCAGTTCTAAAAACAAATAGAAAGAATTAAGCATTTTTTCAAATTGTATCTACACCAAAATCATGATAGTCTTTTGATGTACATTAGCATTATAGTAGTAAGGCACATGATTTAATTCTATGCATGGCCATTTACCTACCACTTTTTCTTTCTACTACTATTACACACTTCTATCAAAATTTCTTATGTTCATGACTTGGCATATATTTAACTGCTGATCACTAGTGATCCCAGGACTAGTTAGATACTATGTCAATGATAACTACTAATTCAATATTCTTATTCTAATAGCTGATATGGTTTACAGAGTACTTTGTGTTATCTCATTTGAATCTCACAACAACTTTTTGATTTAGGTAATGTTACAGATCACGTAAGTCTCCAAACCCAATGTTCTTATGCTTTCTACAATGACTAAAAACACAAAGGCACTTTTTAAGGTAAACTGTTGCAACTGCTACACTGAAACTTATTTTTCTCTATTCCATTGCACTTTTCCATTGATCCATATCTCCTACATAAGGAGAAACACACTATATAAGGAGATACATAATTTAGATCATTGCTCATATTTCTTTTATAACATATGTATAGCACAAGCAATGGAGATACAAAAACATGGGGAAGGTTGAATGAAGAAGACATTTGTTCTAGTGATACCACTAAAAATCCCCAAAATATACTGTTAATGGCAATAAACTAAATAAATGAAGAATTTTTAGTTTAACTATCCATTCATTCAACATATTTATTGAGTGCCTATGATGAATAATAAATTACTGTATAGAATACATATAGTTGTAAAAACACAATCCCTAACCTCAAGAAAGTTACAATCTAGTACTGGAAATACAGGCAAGTTCTGGGGTGTGGGAGACAGGGACAACAACAGAAGTCAGTAAGTATGTGATAAATGTGATGGTGTATCATTGTTTTTGAAAAGAAGAATGACAAGGTATGAATAGTATAAGATTAATTAGGTAGTACCAAAAAGGACAAACTGAAATGGAGGAGAACACTGTCTGAGAAGCCAGAAAGAAGATTGGAAAGCTAATGGGAGAATGAACTACTGCAGTCTTCAAACATGAGATCACTAAGTCCCATCACCCAACCTGTACAACGTTGACAGGTTAGGGTTGGGGTGAATCTTCTTATAGCAAAGGCCTTACAAAACTTGCAAATAACAGAAATATGAGAGTAAAGGCGAACATATTTGATGAGAGGAGGATAAAAAAATCTTGGCAGGACAGAACACAGGGCTGCTTCTATAAGACAAATAGCATAGGGATAAATGAGAAGTCAGATACTTGGTTTTAAAGAATCAATGAAACAAGAACAAGATAGAGATACCATGGCTAGATAGCAGCTTATCTGAAAACAAAAAACAAAACCTGGGTATTTTAATGGACCACAAAATCAATGTGAGTCAATAGAATGGTAAGGCAGCCAAAAACAATAAGGTGAACTTTACATTAAGAATGGCAGTGTTGGGGCAGCTAAGTAGTGCAATGGATAGAGCACCAGCCCTGGAGTCAGGAGGAACTAAGTTCAAATCCAGCCTCAGACAACTAACACTTACTAACTGTGTGACTCTGGGTAAGTCACGCATCCCCAATTGCCTCGCAAAAAAAAAAAAAAATGGCAGTGTTTTCAGAATAAAAGAGGTAAAGCACTGCTGTATTTCGCTCTGTTCTGCTCAGCTCTGGGTATTACATTTTAATAGACATCAATTAATAAGCAGAAGTGCATCCATAGGAGGACGATCAGTACTGTGAAGGGCCTTGAGATCATGGTTGAAGGAACTGGGGATTAACCCATAGGAGACTTGGGGGTAGGAGACAGAACAGGGTAAGTGCTTTCAAGTATTTGATGCGCTGCCATATAGAAAAGGAAACAGACATGTTCTGTTTGGTCTCAAAAAGTATAACTAGGAATAGTCAGTGGAAGTTGTAAAGAAGCAAATTTTGACTTGATGTAAGGAAAGCCTTCTCAATAATTAAGAGTTATCAGGGGGCAGCTAGGTGGTGCAGTGGATAGAGCACTGACCCTGAAGTCAGGAGGACCTGAGTTCAAATCCGGCCTCAGACCAAACACTTGACACTTACTAGCTGTGTGACCTTGGGCAAGTCACTTAACTCCAACTGCCTTAAAAAAAAATAATAATAATTAAGAGTTATCCATAAATGAAAGTGATTGGCTGGAAAGAGAGTGGGATCTGCCTCACTTTAAGTCTTCAAGCAAAGGCTGGGATTGCCATTTGCTAAGGATTTTTATAGAAGGGATTACTGTTTAGGTAAGGATTAGACTAGATGCTCTTTGAGGGCCATTCCCAATCTGAGCTTTTATGATTCCATGTCACTACATTGCTCAAAACCCTTCAACAGTTCTTCATTGCCTACTGAATACAGTCCAAACTCTTGAACATGACAGACAAGGTCCTCCACAATTTGACTACAACTTATTTTTCCAGATTTATCTCACACTGCTTTCCCATCACAAGCTCTACTATTTAGTAGAGCCAAACTGGAATCCATAGAAATACCTCTATCACACTGGGTATACAGAGGTTTAGGATAAGATATAAAGAAATATTACCAAGATAAAAATACAAGAGTAGGTTACAGTATTCACTAGAAAAGAAAGTGAATACCTCTGCCAGGGGTGAGGAACCTATGGCCTAGAGGCCACATGTGGCCCTCTAGTTCCTCAAGTGCAGCCCTTTGACTAAATCCAAACTTCACAAAATAAATCCCCTTTAATAAAGGAATTTGTTCTGTAAAACTCGGACTCAGTCAAAAGGCCACACCCAAGGACCTAGAAGGCCACATGTTGCCTCAAGGCCACAGGTTCCCCATCCCTGATATACCAATGAAATCACAGATCCCTCAGAGTATTAAAAGACTATCATTGCACATATCTTAGCACTTGTGGACTATGGGTTCCTTAACTTTTTTTGTGTCACGCTCCATACAATAGCAGGGTGGTAAAACCCCTTCTAGAATTATGTTTCTTAATGCATAAAATAAAATATGAAAGATTAAAAAGGAAACTAATTATGTTGAACATAGTTATTAACATTTTTTTCAAGTTTATAGATCCTAGATTACGGACCCCTATTCTCTACTGTACTACTCATTAAGGACAGACACAGTATTATATTTATCATTCTAACTTTTCCAAAATTTTACCGTGGTACATCACACATAGAAAGACCTTGGTAAATGTCTCTTCTATGAATCTTTGCATTGCCTCTACTTTCAGTGCTAATATACTCATATATCTTTGGTACATTATTCAAAAAACGCTAAAATGTTTCAAATGTTCTTTTTCTTAAGGTCAGGCCAGAAAGAAGGTGTTTTCTAAAGTTTTACTCTTATTTGCCAGTGACATCCTGAATGTCTGAATGCAAAACTGTGTACTAATTGCCTCCAACTGGTCATAGACAGTGTCTGACTTACGAACAAGTTGTGTTCTGAAAGTCATTATGTCAATTTTTTTCAAATTCAAAAACACATTTTCCTACAGAAGCAACATCTCAGTCTAAACAAGACCCAAAAAGTCTATTTAACCCCACAATGGTGTCAAATAATGTTCAATTAAAATAAAAAATACTGTTGCAATAGTAGTAATAAAACAGATAAGAGACTGGAACTGTGATCTTACTGGTATAGGGAACTCAAAGATGAGGAAACACCCCCTACTAATGCTGGGCTGCACCTTCTCTGATAATTCTAATATTAGAGATTCCTAGTCTGGGTAAATTACTCTAGTACCACCACCACCACCACCACCAATACAGTGTTGGCAAGGAAAAGAGAACTGTAGGAAAGGGTGTTCACATTGCAAAACATGAGCAAACAACCTATGGGGAGAAAGGAGAGAGAATAAGCCTGTATGGTAGGTTGAATAGAAGTATTGACTATTCTGCCCCTTGCCTAACTGGGGTTTGCAGGAACGGTGTACTGTCATCTAAGGAATTTGTTCCCAGACAGTTCCTATGTTCAGTGCTCCTGAGAGACCTGAGGATTTAGAAAGGATCCAAGACACTTGAGAACAAGTATAACTTTCCACCCAATCCCTTTTTTATCTACATTTGCTCCACCCACACTCCAGTCCCTCTTACGGCAAATCAATCCTTTCATTGCTGAATTCTGCTATATACCATCAATGAAGCAATTACCTTCCTACAGAGCTTTGCTTCCATGTACAGCCTTTATATTTCTGTTTGATATCTCTGAGGCTTTTTGTAATTGTAAGTATAGCTGACCTTGACAAATCATATAATCTTTTTGGAGCTGTTTCTTCATGTGGGGGGGGGGGGGGGGGGGGGGGCTGGATTACATGCTCTCTAAGGTACCTTCTACCTCTAATGCTTTAAAAAAAATTCTACTTTGACCTCTAACTAGGGTGGGGCAACCCAGGCTTTGTTCCAGGGAGCCTAAATTTGGAGGACACTGATAGTACTTGTATTCCCTCTACAATTTGGAAATAACTGAATTTAGCACTTGGCAAGAATACTTCATCAAAATAGGAATGTCTTATCTGGTAGCATCTCTGTACCCCCTCAGTGGCAAACACCATGAGTAGCCTTGCAATGTTTTGGCATCTCTGTCTTCCCTTGTCCCATCGGGTGATATTCCAAAGTGCCCTTCCCTCAATTGAATTTCTCTGGCTTTAAAACTAGAGCTCTGATTCTGTAAATTGTTTAAGAGCAAGGCCAGTATCTAGTACACATGAAACCACATTAATGGTATTTGATGCTAATGTCATGATCCGTGGGCCAAAACTTTTAAACTTACAATAGAATTTGGGAGAAGTGTCTAATCTCAAAACTTTAGCTTTAGACCCTGCCTCCCTTCAAATTGCTTTCTCTCATGTTACCAATGATCTCTTAAGGGCTGTTTTGTCATAACCTCAGAGATCCCTCTCTCC